GATCGGCACACCCCTGGGATCCAGAGATGAGTCTGTGGCCTGTTCCTAAATCCCTTGAACATTACCAGAGCCAGGCCAGTGAGAGGGGGTCCGCAGAGGTGTGCCCAGGGATCTGTGGCCAGAGGTCTCACCAGCATAAGACTGCCTTCTCCACGCCGCCCCTTTCCCCACAAAGCGCCCAAGCTCCTCAACACATCCTAAATCTGCCTAATGCTGCCCCCTCCTCACTTCCTACAGCCATCTTGATTAGCCTCTCTCAGGTGGGAATGTTCTGTCACCCTTCGGGCTTTTCTGTCCCCTCTGACCTGTCAACTGTGCCTTGAACTAGCAGATTTTGTCCCCAGGGAGAGAGCAGTCTAGTGAGGAACTGCCATTAAATAAGAAAACATATAAATAATACATAACGATAATATCTAGTAAGGGCCTCAAAGGACAGCAAAGAGAATAAGGGGTATTAGTTAGGTTTGAAGACAAGGAAAGACCTGGAGAATATGGTGCTGATGCTGAGCACAAAAGTCTGGAAGGAGAGGCAGAAATGTTCAGAATGCTCCTAATTCTGTACCTTCCCCTCCACTCTCACCGGCCTTTTGACTTGGAAGGTCTTATGATAAAGATTCAGACCCATGGTTCTGGATGTGAATAGCCTGGGTGTCAGCCCACTTGTATGCGGCTTACAGGTACTCAAATACATTATCTTCTCCCAGGACTGGCTACATAATTTGACAGACCCTATGCAAAATGAAAGTGCAAGCATCCTTGTTTATAAAAGTAAGAATTTTATTTAGGCCTCCCTGGTGGTGCAGGGGTTAAAGACTTAGCACTATCAAGCTATTGCCAGCCAGTGCAGCATGAGTTGACTCATGGTCAGGGAGCTGACCCACATGCTGCTCCCCGCCCGCTGCTCCCCTCATCAGTGTAGTTCAATAGATCTGCCAGTTCTATTCCCCACTCTGCCCTGGTGAATCCTCTCACCCTCCCACTCAGCTCTTTTATGCATAAATAAATAAAATAAAAGTTTTAAAAATAAGAATTTCAAGATGAGGTCATAGCAGAGTGTTAAACCAAGCCTAGAGGGTACATGCCCATGAAATTAGCCCTGACTGGTCTCCCTCCTTCACTCACTCCTCAGTGTGCCAGCTGGCATTTTTTAAAATAATATAGTAGTTTATTTTTATATCATTTTGTGCCTTTTTCCATCTCAGTTGCAATCCCTGTGGGCTTCCCATCACCAAATCACCCATGTGCCACCACCATAGTCCAGCCCATTCATAAACAGAGGATATCCTAGTATTGACAGCACACTGCTGAGCTTTCCCTTGCAGTAGTAAGTTGAGATAGCAGTAGGAACTTTCCTCAGCTATGCTCGTAGAGTAACAGCTGTCCCACCAGATTCCATGACTAGACAGGCTTCTAGGAGTCTGTGTAGTCTCTAAAATAATGTGCAATGCAAAGCTTCAAGGGAGCAGATATGCCTTTTTCTGGGGAGAGAGTCCATGGCTTTCATTTCAGATTCTCCAGAGTCCATTTTCACCCCAAAAAGAATTAGAACTAGTCCTGCAAAGTTTCAGCCCAGATGTTAATAGTTTTTGAACAGATCCTCCAGGGGGCTTTGTCTAGAGAGAGCCAATTCCCTTTGTGATATTAACAATGCAATTGAATACTAACAAAAACAGCTACCAGTTATGGAGCTCTTACTGTGAGCCAGGCACTTGACGTACATTATCTCATTTAGTCCTTCTAATAGCAGTGAATTCCATGGGGCTCTGACCAGCCCTAGCCAGTCTCTTGGCCATATTATATCATGCCTGTGACAGCCTGTTCCAAAATGTGATTGACTTACTCTTACATCTGACTTGTGGGACCAGAGATGGCCTGTCTGACCTCAGCAGAACTAATCTCGGCCCCTGAGGCCTGAGGCCTTCCTCTCAGTCTAAGCCTCGCCCTGATGAAAACACACGCACACCGGGTCATCTCTGATTGTCATGCTTTGCACATGCAGTTCTGGTTTTCTAGACTGTATGTCCCCATCCAAGTCCTTAGCCTGGAAATCTCCTACTGAAACCACAAATCTCAGCTCAACTGTCACTTCCTCCCAGGGACCTTTCTCAACATTCTGTGACCTGGAGGAGATTTCCTTCCTATGGGCCTATGTTCTGGTCTACCTCCATTAAAGCTTTCATTGGGATTTACTGCACTTGTCTGATTTTGTGTGGCTTCCAGTAAACTGTGAGCTCTAGGAGGTCAGTGACCATGTCATTAATTACTCCGTATCCCATAAGACTCGGACCATGTCAGGATTCCGCAAACGTGTGGTAAATAAACGCTCATCTTGGCCTGGGCCTCTACATACCTGGGCATTCTTCACCACCTGAAGCTCAGAGTCCTAAGGGGAAGATAATGCAAATGTAGAACAGATAGAAGCCTCTTCTGCCGGCGACCTGGAGGCTGATCAGGAGGGGCTTGCAGTCGTCAACACGACGGATGACTAACTGCTGGACTAGGTTAAAGCTGTGGGAAGAATGAAGCAGGATTTAGAAATAAATGAGAGATGATTCAGCACACATCACTCTTCCTGAGTGAGGAGCAGAGTCATGGTCATCCCCAGAGAGAGGTTTTGTAGGAGCTACTGAAGTGAAATGTATTGGGTGTTAGGCGCTTCCTCCCTTGTCCGAAACACGGCCATTTATGAGGTTTGAATCTTTCACCCTTAATCCCTCCTTGGGTTAAAACATTGAAGCTGGGCCCTCCCTGATGGTGCAACGGGTTGGGACACAGCACTGCAGGCTGGCCACAGCTGCCTCAGTGCAAGTTTGATCCTGAGATCTAGCCCCAGCTGGAGGTGATCCACATGGCACAGCAGACCTCTCCTGTCTCACACGCTGCTCCCCTCAGCAGTGTACTTTGTCAGTCTGCCTTTTCTGCTCCCCACTCTCTCTTACTGCTCCAGCACTTCTGGCCTGCACTCCAGTTTTGTCTGCATAAATAAATAAATAAATCTTAAAAAAAAAAATTGAAGTTTCTGAAAAATATTACTCATAAAGATAGCTAAAATGCCAAATTCTCCTTCCAAGTTAGAGGGTTGACTTTCTCACTCTTTCTGGAGTGCTTTCTGACACCCACCAATTCTCCTGCCAGCTAGTTGTCCAACAATTCATCTCAATTCTGAAGCTAACAATGCTGAATTCACACAGCTTGAGGGCTTAGTCTCACAGGACTGCCTTCTCTTCAGATGTCAAACTACAAATCCCAGCCACCCTACTTCTGACCAACCTGGCATAGATCAGGGATTCCCACCACCTCCTCCTCAGTTTTGATAAACTGCTTGTGAACAATTCACAGAACTTAGGAAGATCCTTTATGTGCCTCCACTGGGTTAATACAAAGGGTAGGAATGAACACCCAGATGAAGTGGTACATATCTTGAGCTCTGGGAGAGTCCTATTGTAATAGGGTGGTCCCTAGGAAAAGGTGGTGAGCATAGCTGCCTTCCAAAAAAGAAAAACTTGTTTCTTCTCCCCAATTTCTAGTCATCTTTAAGATTCACTTTGTCATTTCCTGAGTAAAATTTTCTCCAATTTCTCCTTTGACACTTCTACTTTGTGGGTATACATACCTCTGACAGTATGTATTAGGTTGTGTTTGAGTTGCAATTTCTTTTTTAAAGATTTATCTATTTCTGCATACAGAAATGGGGTGCAGCCAGAGGTGCAGAGGTGGTGAGAGGAGTCACCAGAAACAGACTGGGGAGTAGAACAGGCAGATCAACAAAGTACACTGCTGTGGGGAGCAGCGGGCGGGTCAGGAGAAGTCTGCTGTGCCATGTGGATCACCTCCAGGGCAGGGATTGAACTCCCAGTGAAGTGGCCACAGGTTGGCTTAGCTTTGCAGTGCTGCATCCCAACCTGCTATGCCACCAGGGAGGACCCTGAGTGGCAGTTTCTACATTTCTGAAGCAGGTGGTTGAGAAGACACAAAGCAGAAGATAAATATGGTATGTGTTTCTAGAGTGTCAGTTTTACTGACTCCCAAGCTCAGTCGCAAAACATTTATTAAGGTAAAACTAGCATAGCTATATTATGAAGCAACATGCCAAACCTCAATTTTGCTGGGGAAAAAAAAAAAAGGTAAGGGATTGTTTTAGATTAGGAGACACTAGAGAAACAGAATAGCTAAATGCATGAAACTCGATTGATGCTGAATTTTAAAAAGCTAGAATAGATGTAAAGAATTATGGCAACTCCTGTCTTACTTTCATCAGGCATTACAAGTTGTATTTATGTTTGTGTGAGATTATTCTATATAGACCATAGAATACAGGTAGAACATATGTAGATGTTCATGATATTTTATAGATACAAAGGTTTCAAAATGGTTCAAGAGTTGCTCATTCTGCGAGTTCATTCTCCTCTACACTTAAGAGGACGTCTGAGAAGCCCTGCTTTTGTTCTGCCAACATTCTGCTGTGTGAGCCCCAGAGGCTATATAACTCAGTCATTTCTGTATTCTAAGAGTTCAGCACAGGACCTGCAGGGAGGTATTGAATAGTGAACAAAACCACCAACTTAATATGCTGTGACCCTGGAAAAATCTCTCCTCAGTTTCCCCTCTGTAGGGGTTAGACTGGGCCAAACTGTAAGGTCCTCTCCAGCTGTAGCACCTGAAGAGGACTGGGACTCTGAAGGAAGGTCAGAGAACTTTTTCTACACAGAATCCCACGCCCCCAAAGGCAAAGACAATAACCACAGTGAGTCAGGTCCTACGTTTTAGGAGCCAGGCTTTGGGAGAAGTGTTCTTAAGCTCACGTAGGGCACATGTCAGAGGTGTGATTTCTCTAAGAATGAAGGGGTAGCAGGGGAGGTTGACCCAGCTTTTATGAGGCCCTCCTGGCTATAGTTATAGCCATGGCTAACTCCAGTGTCTTCAACCTTGATTGCATATTGCAATTACCTGAGGAAGTTTTAAAAAATACTGTTGTTCACCCCAGAGATTCAGATTTAATTGATTTGGGGTATGACCTAAGTACCTGGAATTCTAAAGGTTCCCTAGGTGATTCTAATGTGCATTCAAGGTTAAAGCCACGAAGACCTACATTGTGGTGATGGTGCAAGAACTCCAGCTGGGTGACATCGTGGCTTTGCCACTTACTAGCTGGTTGACCTTGGGCGTCACTTCTCTTTGAACCTATTATACCACATATGACAGGCAAGTGAGATAATGCAGCACTAAGCCAAAATGAACCGTTAGTTAAGGAATTACTCATGAGTAAACAGAAGCCCCTGTGGCTCTAAAATGAATACTTTTTGACTCCAGTGCAGGCAGTTCTCAAGCTTGCATCCAAAACACCAGGAAGATGTGTTAAAATAGTGAACACCTTCCCTGAAAGCCCAGTATGTCAGGTGGGGCTCTAGAATTTTGCATTTCTAGTGTGTTCTCAGGTAATGCTGATGCTGCTATTTCAAGGACCACAGAGTATTAATGTGTAGAGCAGAGTTTCTCAATGTCATGACTAGTGGCATTTTTGAGCACCTGCTTCTTTGAGCATCTCAGCCTCTACCCGTTAAATATGGGTAGCATTTCTCTAATTACTCTACACTGCCAAATGTTCTTTGGGGAACAAAAGTGTCCAGAATTGAGAGCTACTGCTCTCGAGAATGTAAGGTGAAGAACCTAAGAGTCTAGATGGGCTGTAAAAGAAAGACAGAAGTTAAAGCCTAGGAGCACAGTTCAGGGCTTGATAGAGGGGGGACACCTACCCAAGGAAGGGTCTTTCTCACAGAAGGATCTTTACAGTTCTGGGGTACATCAGAAGTTGGGGGGCAGTCTCAAAACTCACACATTTGACCCACAGACTTGTCTGGCTGCTCCAGTTGTCTGGGGTAAGAGCCTTGGTCATGCCTTAATGTCTTCCAGAAGGAACAATCCTAACCTAACCACCTTTCCCTGAGAATCAGCTTGTCAGTTGCAAATTGTACAGAACATCTTGAGATAGCAACATGCAGCAGACTCTAAGAAAAAACTGTAGTTGTGAAGCCACCCCGACAATAGCCCTAACCTTTTTGAATCCACCTGACAATTCAGCTCACAAAATTGAACTTCCCCACCCGCCACGGTGAAAACAGAGTTTTCTCCTTAAGTGCCAACACTATTAAGTGTTTGAGGCAGCGGCAGTCATAAAGTGAGATCAGCTGAAAACCAGAGACTCGGTTACTCATCTGGGAGCAATCTATCTCCCAAAGTGAGAATACAATTTGCAACCTCTGGGGATATTTGGTACTCAACTCTTTATTCCCCAGGTTAGGGCAACTATTCCCTTCAAATTCCAAGCAATGGTGCTGCTATTTCCTGCTAATGGCTTTACCAAGTCTTTGAGGCAGGCACTTGGAAAGCGTGAAGAGGCTGAAGTTAGAAGAAAGACTTGTGGTCTCTGATTCTCCCCAGTCATCACTTCTCAAACTTCTCCAGGGATTGGTAGGTTATTAAGAAGTGCAGTGTTAAGGTTCAAGACTTGTTGGATCCAAAGCCAAGGTTGTGGGTAGGTGGAGGGGAATGGACTAGCTTTGAGGGATGCAAAGGGAATCTGAGTTACCCGGGATGGTGCTGGAAGTGGGAAGAGCAGCTTGCGTGCCATCTTCGGCCAAACTCTTTTGGTTACAGATGTAACTACCCAATTATTGTTCAGGTTGGAAATTTGGGTCAACACTCCCTTTGAAGATTTCACTATACTCTGAAAAAGACTGTACAGCAGTCTTGCAATAATCATTGCCACTTTATTTAACGACCTCTTTAACACACTTACTACAGCACGAGATCTTCAGGCCTCAATGTATCCAACGTACTTGGAAAGCGGTGTTCTGTGCAACACAGTTTAGGAAATCTTAACCTATGTGATTGAGTACAGAAGTACAAGTCCTCCAGGATTTGGCTCCTACTTTAATTCTGTAACTTTACTCTCTGCCACTCCCTACTTCCAACCATGCTGGTTTTCAGTTCAGGAAACACACCAGGCTTTCAAGCTTGTGCCTGTTACTTCTTGGAATGTATATGGTTGTCTACTTAGCAAATCTCTACTCATTCTCTAAATCTAAACAGAATCACGTAATCTATGAAATGTATGTAGCTCTCCCAGGCACACTAAACTGCTTTCTGCTTTTAGTGCATTTACTCAAAGTTAACTCACAGTATTAAAAGTAATTGGTTTGCCCACTTTACCATCCTACTGGCTCCTTCATTAATGAGTTATTCTTGAATAAGTGCTTACTGAAAGCTAATCTCTTGTAATTTAAGATAAATGATTGAGCTTTATGAGGGAAAAGTATAAAATCAAACATGTTCAGAAAGTTTGGAAGCGTGAAGACCGATGTAAAGATTTCCGTGTTGAGACAGGAGAGAAAAGAAACACTTGTGTTCCCCAGTGTCAGATGGAATTCATCACCGCCGGTTGGGTGCTGGATTCCGTCAACGACAGTCACCCAGTGACCCAGGAAGATGGGAATCGGTCTTGAGGATGGAAGGCAACTAACTGCATCTCAGTTCAGGAGAAGATAGAGTAGCAAAGCAGCATTCTAGGTTTCAGGCACTGTCGTAGCCTGGCTCCACCAAAACTTCCTCTAATTCCTTTGAGCTTGATGCGACTTTTCAGACATCATTGTATCTATTTGATGAAAAGACTACCCCAAAACTGCTCACTTTAGGGACCCTGAGCAGAGAGACTTCTTTTAGAAATGAGCTTTTGGCAGAAGGAGGAGTAGACACAGATCCTCACTGGAGACTGTACCAGATTCTTTGACACGTCATCACATGTCATCTTTTTCCTTCCAACAGAAAAAGATTTGTCATGGAAAATTCTTACCTGTTTTCATTTTCATGGGAATAAATCTAAACACAAAAGCGGGGAAGACCTAGTACGCCTAGACAGCTCAGTACAGAGCTTCCACGACTAAATGGATTTATCTCCTGGGCACATCATATACTGTTCAGGTTTACAGTGCTTAAGCCTAAAAAGAAAGGACAGCAATAAATCCAATGTACAGGCTCTTGAAAAAGGCATCTATCTGGCTTTTAATATAAAATGACTGAGAGAAACACAGAAAGAAAATATACAAGCTAGTTACTTAATTAAAAAAAAAAAAAAACCCCAACAAATTTCGGTCACATTCCCTGCCTTCAAGCCTGGATTAGAGAAAGCAGGAAACTATAATGTCTATCCCTCGCAGAAAACTTATTAAAAAAAAAAACCAAACAAACAAAAAAACCCAAACAAGTCCCTGAAATCTGGCAGATGGTTTTCAGAGGCCACTGAAGCGTGCCTTAATCATCCTGGTGAAATGGAGTACATGTGTTTGTTGGAATATGGCCACCTCCTCCTGTTTCTTGCTAGTAATGATCTTCGTTTGGAGGAGGATGCCGTCCTGGGCACCGCCACTTGATGCCACTTATAGTCTGAGGTCTCAAGGTCAAGAAGTTTTGCAGTCTTCCATATTGTCACTGAATCTCCCCCATATATAGTCTCTTGTCACTGGATGCTGAGAGAACTGAGGTGAAAAGAACAGAGAAGATAAGTGGAAATTATGAAGGCTCAAGGACTCAGTGTGCTCAAGGGTTCTTGTGTCAAGAGTCAATTTGATATAAAGGAGCAACTGGATTTAGCTCAAATCTCCTCCTCCTAAACCATTCACAGGGAACTACAGCCACAGCCTCTGGACTGACCGTGAGTAGAATCTGCCATAGGAAATACATCAGGCTCTAAATCCTGCTGTCTCCTGAGGTTGTTCAAACCCTACGAGAAAGACCTTCTCAATCACTCTAGAAAAGAAGAATCAATGTCTGTGCCAGACAATGAGTAAATGTGCTTCTGCTTATTCTACTTAGCTCTGCAGAAAATTATATTTCTCTTCAAACTCAAGTACCATTATTTAGTTAGGCTAGTCAATAATATGTAAGTTACAATTTATATATACTTAAGAAACTTTTTTATCCAAATATATCACAGACAAGATGTGAAACAGGAACTCAAAAGAACTAGAAACACATTAACCAACTTCCTTTTGAGATTGAGAAGACTGAGCGTTGCTCTTACCCTCACCACTTAGAAAAACGGCCAATGCCAGCAGCACCCATAGGTACTCGTGTTTCCACATTTGAATGAAAACTCACGTAAAGCAGAAGTCCACTTGTCTGCATTCTGAGGATCCCTTTAGAAATTCCTACAGGTTTCCTTCCCCCCTAGTGAGAACAGACTTACTGATGGGCTCATCAGGATGGAAAGCCACTTCATTGATGGAGCCAGCGTGGCCAGGCAGCTTATACAAAATCCTCCTGCTTGTAGTGTCCCACACGTACACAAACCTACAAGTTACAATGAAAGCAAGGTAAGGGTCTCCCAGAGTAGGGGGCGGGCAGAAGTATAGTTTTATTAAGGGAAATGGAAGCAACAGCTTATTTTTTCACCCTATACACACTTTCTTTTATTGAAGCAACACAGGCTTATATAGTTTCAAGTGTACAGCATTATAAATCAATGTTTGTAGTATTGTCTAATTTCCATCCTTCAGGGCCCTTTTATCTGATTTAGCCACCTGTTTTCCCCCTCCCTTCAGGTAACCTCTATTTGTTCTCACACTCTAAGTTGATCATCAGTTTTATTCTTTGTTTTCCATGTGATTGAAATCATGTTTTGTCTCTCTCTGGCTTATTTCATTGAGCATAATACTCTCTGGGTTCCAATTTGTTGCAAATAGAAGGTTTTCTTTTACCATAACTCCTTGTCAGATCTTGAATTAATTCTTGTATGGTGTTAAGACAGTGGTCTCGTTTCATTGTTTGCGTGCAGCCATTCAACTTCCCCCACACCATTTCTTGCTCCTTTTTATATTCTTCATTTCTTTTTAATAAATGTATGTGGGCTTGTTTCTGGACTCTCAATTCCTTACCACTGGTCTGTGTTTGTTTTTTTATTTCAACATGATATTTTGATTACTAACACTCTGATGTACATTTGAAGCTGGGGAATATGATGCCTCCACTTAAGTTTCCCCCTTAGGACTGTTCTGGCTATTAAAGGTTTTGTAGTTCCAAATAAATTTATTGATTTTTTGGGTTCTATTTCTGTGAAAAGTGTTGGGGCTTTAGTTGGCCATTTTAACAGTATCTGCCATTCTAGAAGCATGGATAATCTTTCCATTTTTTGATATCTTCTATTGTTTTCAACAAGGTCTTAATAGTTTTACTGTACAAATCTTTCATCTCCTTAGTTGAATTTGTTCTTAGGTATTTAATTCTTTTTGATGTGACTATAAATGGGCTTGTTTTCCCAACTTTTCTTTCTGCTAATTGTATATAGAAATACAATTTTTACACATTAACTCTGTAGCCTGCCACTTAATTGAATTCATTTAATATAATATGTAAATATGTAATTTTATTGTTGTTGTTGGGATTTTCCATGTGCACTGTCATATGTTACCTGCAAATAATAACAGTTTTATTTCTTTTGCAGTTTGGCTATCTTTTATCTCCTTTTCTTGTCTAATTGCTCTACTTCACTCGATATTTTTTGACCTATGCCTTGTTTTTCAGAAAGTGGGAGTAAAGATTTTAATAAGGCATGGACCTTGCCCTTGAGCAATTGGGTGGAGAAGTACAAACAGCTAAAAATACAAGCATTTTTAAAAAATACAAGTATTTTTAAACACAGGTCTCTGAAATAGAAAAGAACATGTAGAAGACAAATGGTTTTTCCTATGGATTCCACACATAACTCTTCAAAGAGCACCTGATATTACTAGTCTGAAATTAATCTGTTATTTATGCAAGAATGTCTTAAAGTTAACCCAATTCACAGCAAGTTGAGAGCTAGCTTATTATAGATTGCTCTGAAGAAACAGGACATTTTTACTATATAAACATAACCCAAAACAACTCAAATAACAACTCAAATCTTGTACTAATTTCAGGGCAGCATAAACCAGCTCAGTCTAAATGTATCTTATAGATAAGCTTCTCTGACTCTCAAACTTGCTTGGGTCATTTTGTAGTGGAGGGTAAAATGAAAAGACATTATCTTCATATGATCATGCAAAAATAATCTGTTGGTAAATGTAAAGGGCTGGTGACGTTTAAACAGGTCATAAAAATTATTTACTTATTTGTTTTGTTGAGTAAACACCTACAGAGTATATATCAACACATGATTTTAACTGCCAAGTTCTGATGTGACATTATACTTCTAGTCTAATAATAATAATAAATAAACAAGAGTTTCTTAATCATAATATTTAGCTCTCAAAAACTAGGCTCCAAGGAATATGAAAGAGAAGCAGGAGCCCTACTGGTCTGAAGCCTTCTTCGCTTCGATGTTTATGTTCCCTCTATTTTCTTCTTTCATACGATGCACAAATAACTGTCCTTATCAGTCCAGCTAAGCGTGATGTGGCATAGTGAGTTCTAGAGTCAGTATGGGTTCAACACTCAATGTGTCTATTTAATAGCTGAGTAACTGTAGGCAATTATTTACTTCTTTGAGCTTCTAGTTCCTTAGTTATAATGGAGACAATGTTGATCTCACAGCCTGGTAGAGAGAAATAAGAGAAAACGTATGCAGAGTGCTTGGCATAGAGAATTAGTAATAGGTATTGTTATGACAACTATGTCTGTTACGAAATCACAATCCCATGTAGTCAACAAGTGACTAAATCACTCAGAGCAGAGAGACTGACCAGTCTTCCCATAGCCCTTGATAGGGTTGTTGAAGGGCTTCAAGTTTGAACATGAGGAGGTTAGTCAGAGAGGGGAAATTTGCCAAATCCAGGCCAAGCTGAAAGTGGTTACCTAAGAAGGAAGGAAATATTTTGCAGGCACATAAAAGTGAGCAGAACCCTTAATCTCTTAAGGGCTTACTTCAAGGCCTCACTTTTCATAGCCACCAATTAGAACTAAATTTAGAGGGGTTCCTTGTTCTCTCCTTACTTTGACATGACAATATACAGCAGAAACCAGGCTCCTTATGTAACAGAGCTGCTCGTCAACTTGGGGATAATTGTCAAGGTGGCCTGTGACTGGAGGTGAGAATGCATGAAGCAGGTAAGAATTGGGAAAGTTTCATGTAAGTGAAGCAGTGTGGCAGTGACAGGGCATCTGAATGAATTGAATCACAGCAGGAGAATTTGATGACATCATCTTGTGAGTTTTTTGAGCCTAACAGACAGTAAAATTCTTATGCACACAGAAATCACCCTTTCAAAGTTGCACACATTTTCTTGAGGGAAACTGAACTAGATTGTTCGTCTGAATTTTATTTTGCTAACAAAGAGAATTCAACAGAATCAGAGACACTGTTTACCCTCTAGGCTTAAAATGTATCCAAAGAAGGCAGTGATGATGTGTTTGTCCCTTATGATCTTTAAACCCTTCACAGCACACATGGTTTCATCTCTGAGTACAGCTATAAGTGTCCATTCCAGCTCAACATCCGCACATCATGTATTAAACATGAGAAGATACCTGCACAGCAATATCATCCTTTACCTCATATTCATGAGGTAATCCTTACCTGTCAGCTGAGCCAGCTGCTATCTTGCTTCCATCAGGTGACCAAGAACATCTCAGAAGATTCTATAAAGATGAGTAAGTAGGAATTCAATGACTATAATGTACCAAACTCCTCTTTGTCAAGCTATGGAACCACTAAGAGACCTTAAATTTTTTTTAAGCATTTTAATTATACTCCCCCAGAAAATAAGATAATCAATGAGCAGCAATTATATTCTGAGGCCCAAGGCAGCATACTTTGTTATTTCATACCACACAGAAACCACTGCAGAAATGCTTAATTTACATTAAAGTGAACCTGGCAATAAAGTTCTGTCTATAGAGGCTCCCTTTATTACATTTATCTCAATTCTCACTAAAAATTTTTTATATTGAAGGAAAATAAAGATATAAAATACATCAAAAAGTAAGATTTTGATTTTATAAAGTAAAAGAATCTCAATGAGCTCTCAAAAGAAAGACATTAATCTTTATTAAATTATCTGTGATGATTACATCATACACTGCTTTCAAGAATAGACCTGGGATTTGAGGATTTAAAAAAAAATCCTGTCTTTCAGAACCTGGACTGGTAAATTTACTGAGAGGAATGATTATGTTCTCAGGGTTCTAGTGATTGGTCACTGGAAAGATGAGGGAGGACATCACGGTACTAATCAGGGAAGCCCGAGTCTCATAACAAGTAAAGAGGGAAGAGAGCCAAAGTTACAAAGAATTTCAAGAACAGAGGTGCCTAATTGGAAGGCAGACATTAAATCATTAAATTTAGGACATTAAGTCCTAAATTTGAGGGCTGACTCCATCACTATCTGTGTTATTGCCTTCCCTGTGCTTCTATTTCTGGCAAAAACAGTTTAAAGAAAGAACAGCGTTAATGGCGTAAAGTTCCTCGTTAGTAGAGCTACTGCTCTCTACCCTTACACATCACCTTAAATGTCTTTTTGGATCAAAAGGACAATGAACTTCCTATGCACACAGAACTTACCTTTTCAAAGTTGTGCACATTTCCTTGAAATATCTTCACACATCTCTCTTTGGGAGCAAATGGGCGGACATCCCAGACTCGAACTGTAAATTCAAACAAACGAAAATAGCTAGCAGTCATAAGGATCTTTTTTCTAATGGGAATGACATGCATTCAAGTTCCATTAACAGGGACTCAGAATTCAGGAAAGATGAGGTTTAGGTAAAGAAATGTTGCATTGGGGCCCTCCCTGGTGGCGCAGCGGGTTAAAGCAGAGCACTAAGAAGCTTAAGCCACTTCTGCATGAGTTCGATTCCCGCCTGCCCCGGGAGGTGACCACATGGCATGGCAGACCTCTCCTGACCCGCCCGCTGCTCCCCTCAGCAGTGTACTTCATCGATCTGCCTGTTCTGCTCCCCACTCTGTCTTTGGTGAAGCCTCTCATCGCCCCTGCACCTCTGGCCTGTACCCCAGTTCTGTAAGTATGTACACACACACGAAATGTTGCATTGGTGAGGACTTGCAACAGAATGTTAGTTGGGTGTAACACTAATGTCAACAAAACATTTTGCAAATGATTTGACTGCCAATTCTAATATAGCAAAGTTTCAACACACAATTTAAGTATCAATGACTACTGTAACAATGAATCTATAAAGGTCAAATTTAGGATTGACCTTTCTAATTTTATTCATGAGGCACTTAATCTAAATCTGAACAAAGTGAAATATATTAAACAAGTACTGTGCTAAGAATCACACAAAAAAAATATTTTGATTTTAATTTTTGTTTTGCAGTGCTGACATCTGAGCGATGCTAGATAGCAAGATTCTGTGTCTTGGTCTCCTCTGTAAAATAAGAACACCACTTGCTCTTATTTATTTATTTTAATAAGAACACTTTAAATACTAAATGATATACAAGAGTCTTAAAAGATTAGAGGCAATAAACAAAAATATAGAATTTGCAACTTTATTATGTAGTCATAACAAGGATTCTTAATTTAATTATCACCTATGGAATCTCATCTTTCCTTCCTGTGAACAATGCCAGAATTAGTGGTAAATCTACTGAAATCATAACATGGGTATAAATACAGTAAGCAGTCGATAAAGCCAGTGTTAATTAATAAAGCTATATCTATAGGAGAATTAAATTATCTGATGTCATTTATTTTAATGTGAAAAAGTTAACACTAATCTTTGAAGTTAGGTGTAAAAAGGAGAAACTAAATGCATGAAAGTTGGCCACTGAGTTAAGAATAAGCATTCTGCGAAGGATGATCATTTCATTCAACAAGAAGTTACTGAGTCCCCAATGAATGCCAGAAACTGTTTTAGTTACAAAACATCAGTGAAAACGTTTTAGTTCTGGAAAAGTCCATGAACTTGCACACTAGAGTAGCTTTCCAAATTCCCCCAATATTTAAGCATATAATTCAACAAGTCACCTCCTCTTTTTTTCTATAGCAAACCCATACTACCATTCTAAAACTCCAAAACAAAGAACATATTTTCAGATAAATCCAAAATGCTGAGATCGTTTAATGAGAACTTCTGTCACACCGATGTTTGGAATGGAGAAGGAAGATCCACTGGCAGAAAGAACACACTGAACTATCAACAGGGCTACGGAGTATGCAAGCAGGAAGGCTAGCACTCTGAAAATGCCTGAGAAAAACCTTAGATGGATCTTTAAAATTTCACTTTTTTCAATAAATGCAACACTAAGTTTCTTGTACCCTGTTTGGAATCATAGCCCACCAGAGTTGAAATGGGCCTTAAAATATAAGTCCAGTCCTCTTATTTTATCATGCTGAGGGAGGAGAAATGCTCCATGTAGGGCCCTCCTTGGTGGTGCAATGGATTAAAGCGCAGCACTACGAAGCTATCCACAGCCACTGCAGAAGGAGTTAGATCCCAGGCCAGGGAGGTTCCCGATAACGGCGTGGCAGGCCTCTCCGGCCTTACCTGCTGCTCCTCTCAGCAGTGTATTTTAAGCAATCTGCCTGTTCTGTTCCCTGCTGTCTCTGGTGGGCCCTCTCACTGCCCCCACATCTCTGACCTGTACCCCAGTTCTTGTATTCATAAATAAAATAAATCTCTTAAAAAGAAAAGAAGGGAAGAGAAATGCTGTATGTGAAGTTGCTTAGAGATTAAATGACAAACTGGAATCCTGGCTTCTTGACTGATTCTTCTAAAACTTTCTCTATAATATAATGTGCTCTATTAATTGCGCTGGATAGAGCTGCAAGCCATCCATGACTAGTTCTCCTGGGGTTCTAGAACATATCTCTAGCACTGAAAGCTCAGTTTCTCTAGGCGCCATACTGGCTGGGCACTGGCAGAGTTTTCCTTTTCAAAGTTACCTGTATTGTCCATTGCATTGGACAAGAGGTAAGAGCCTTCAGAACTTAAACTCAGGCCAGTCACTGAATCTGCATGGCCTCTCATGGTGTACGTTAGCTTGTTTTGGCGCAGGTCCCAGACCTGTAAAACAAACAAAACAAACAACAAAAATCCCAGAAAAACATGTTTTCAGAAATCAAATTGAGAATGATCACAGAATATAGTTATTAAAAAGTCAACTGCCTAGAGAAATTGGTATTTCTTCTTAATCTGACTCTGAGTTAATTATTATTTTATCATAAAATATAGAATTTTTGTTGAGGAAAGTAATTCTTGTTTTTCCAAAAAGGGAGTCAGTTATAATATTTGAGTAGATGCATACAAACTAACGAATACCAAATATTAAGGTAAAATTCAACAAAAAAGAGGGAATTTTTAGAGGTCATTTTCAAATCAAATAAAATTAGATGTTTAAAAATGAAGGGGTGGGGGTGGGGCGGGTCTCTGGTGATACAGGGTTTCAAGTCTCAGTGCGATCAAGGTATCACCAGCCAGAGGCATGAGTTCAGTCTTTGACCAGGGAGCTGATCCACATGGTGCAGCAGACCTCTCCTCCTGTCTTGCCCACTGCTCCCCTCAGCAGTCTATTTCAGTAGATCTGCCTGTTCTGCTCCCCACTGTCTCTGGTGAATCCTCTCCTCACCCCCGACACCTCTGGCCTATACCCCAGTTCTTGTATACATAAATAAATCTCTATTTATTTATGGGGTACAGGCCAGAGATGCAGAGGTCATGAGAGGATTTACCATGTTAGAGTGGTGAGCAGAACAGGCAAACTGACAAAGAACACTGCTGAGGGGAGCAGCGGGCAAGACAGGAGAGGTCTGCTGTGCCATGTGGATCATCTCCGGGGTGGGGATGGGACTCAAACCAAAGTGGCTGTGGCCAGCTTTATGGTGCTGTGTTTAACCCACGGTGCCACCAGGAGGGCCAGTATAAATAAATCTTAAAACAAACAAACAAACTAAAAATGAAAGGGCTTCTAAAATGCTTTCAGTATGATTCTTAGTAATTAAATTACTATAGCTATATAAAACAAGTAAATGCCACTATCAATTGCATGTAAAATATACTTAACAAGTAATATGCAAAAACTTATAGTATTTCCATTTATGGCTCATTGCAAAACTATGAGTTCACATGCAGGAAACAACACATTAGAAGGGAAAGACCAGAGATTTAGGGACAGACTGAATCAGTCTTTGCCACTTAAGAGTCATGAGCTATTGTGTTATTGGGACACAAGCCCTCTCTGAGTCTGTTTCTGGTCTTTATATAAGAACAACAACATGTACTTCTTATGGCTGTTGTAAAGATTACAAAGAGAACTCTTAGCATTTGCCTGGTACACAGCAGGTACTCAATAGTGGGTATTATCAAGCAAACCTTAAAAATAACTCTGAAGGCTAAATGTAAACATGTTCATGTAATAAGTTATTAAGAGCTATTAAAAAAGAAAAATACAAAGCAGTTAAAGAGAACTTATATAGACTAAAACATGGAAAATGTAGTGAAGCTAGTAGAATGATCTGGAAATGGTCTGGAATGTCATATGGGGAAAAAAACAGCAATTTTGTCACTGGTAGTATACATAATTTTCTCCTAATTAGATTTAAAACTGCCATGTAGTTTTTCTAAATGGAAACAAAAATTGCTATCCCTGTAAAGATGGTACCTTCCTTATCTAGAAATGAATTTGGTGTTGTATATCAAAGCAATCCATAAGGCAGACGGCTCCACTTTCCCCATCAATAGCTCATTCATGTGTGGAACCCAGCATCCTTTATATACAATCTCTGGGTCAGGATGTTTGCTGCCTCAATAATCAGGTAAGCTGAAATGGCTGCCATTTTTTGTTCAAGTTGTTCTTTCTCTTCACAGAAAGAATCATGGAAATCCTTAGCTCTTCAACAACTAGGAGAATGCAATTTGCCATCCCTCACAGCACTTGGGTGCTATTTCCAGACTTTTGTCCTTGAATTGCACACATACTGTACAGAACCAAAATTTATCTGGAATTTGCTATAGAAAGAGTGAGCAGGACACCAATATAAGCAAATCATTTTGCAAGTGACCTGATAAGCTGTTCAGTGAACATTGGACATCTGTAAGAGGCAGGCACTGTTGAATATTTAAAAAAGAAAGAAAGAAAAAAGTCCCTACTTTCATGGAGCTTTCAGTCTAGTAGGGAAAACAGATAAATGATGAGAGGGGATGGCACAAAGAGCAAGAGTTAAGAGGGATTAACTTCAAATTGGTGGTGGGAAGCCCACGGGGATTACAACTGAGATGGAAAAATGCACAAAATGAAAGACAATACTAAGAAAAACAGTATGTGAAAGCGGCACGAAAAACTCATAGGGAACAGCCAACGCCTGAGAGGTTGGTATGCAGAGGCTAGTTTATGCAAGGTTTTTACTGTCTGGCTTGGACTTTATCTTCCTGACCGGGGAGTCTCAGAAGGGCTCAGAATAGTGAAATGAGTTAGTCAGGTGTGCATTTTAGAAAAACCCTTCTACCCTAGGTAACTTAAGGGATGTGAAGCTGGGGGGGAGGAGGGGGGGAATCAATGGGGATTCACTCTATCCCCTTACCCACTATATTAAAATAAAACATTAAATTGTGAGCTAAGTTCCCATTCTGACTAGTGCTCAGGATTATAAGAAATGACAAAAAATTGCCAGTCAGACCTTGCAGCCATCAAGCAGAGGCATATTTTCTTCTTTATTCATTTTCCTGTAACTCCAATCCTATCCCTAATAAGTCCCATGAGGTTTACAGGAACAGTATACTTGCTCACAAACATTCACAGAATTTGCTTAACTCTGTTTAAAGGAAGGCGCTCACCCCCCATTTGCCCCACCTTAGTTAGAACAGGCAAACAAGTAGAAAAGCAATCAAAACCATAGTCTTTCAGGAGTGTCCCCTAACACAGTGAGTTATTTGTCAAGCAGGTGCTCAAGACTGGTAAGTCTCAAATGCTTAAAAGGAACATGTTGATTGACCTGGGCCAAATCACTTGTAGGGTCTCATAGTCATCTGTAAAATAAGAGGGGTAGACTAGGTATCTGAGGTCCTTTTCAGGTTTAACATTCTCTGAATCTATTCTAATTGAAAAGGCCTCTCTTGCACTTCAAAAGAAATTAGCGGCCCTCCCTGGTGGCGCAGCGGGTTAAAGCACAACACTGAGAATCTAAAGCCACTTCCGCATGAGTTCGATTCCCGCCTGCCCTGGAGATGACCACAGACCACATGGCGTGGCAGACCTCTCCTGGCCCGCCCGCTGCTCCCCTCAGCAGTGTACTTCGTCAATCTGCCTGTTCTGTTCCCCACTCTGTCTCTGGTGAAGCCTCTCGCCTCCCCTGAGCTTCTGGCCTGTACCCCAGTTCTGTATGTACAAATAAATAAATCTTTTAAAAAAAAAAAAAAGGAAAGAAATTAGCAAGGGTCTGAGAAGAATGACAAGACCTCTAGGACCAGAGGCAGTTGCTCACCCCATGGCATGTAAAAATGGTGGTGTTAGAAAGGGGAAAGATGTTTTTCTAATTGATTCCTATCTCTCCAGCACACCTCTTAGTAACAGAAGACTAAAATAAGATCAACTAACTATAGTAATCTGATTTCTTTATTAGACTATATATTAAGTGCTATTACCTGAAAAGAATCTGGCAACCTGAATCTAAGATAGGAAGCATCTTTGTATCTGTTCACACATTAATTTTCATCTAGATATCTATTGTAAGGAAATATGAAAAAGATTTCACGCACAAGTTATCTATAGCAGCACAATTTGTATAATCATCTAAATATTCAGTGACATGGTTGTCACTGAACTATTTAACATTCTAATAAAAGTAAAATAATGATGATAATGGCAACTGAACACTTACTACATACCTGCCATGCTGATGAGAACATCGTATTGTTTACCTAATTTAAATAATAATTACATGCAGTAGAGAGAGAGTTCCTATTTAGAGATACGAAATGGAACTTCTCATAGATAGCATTAATGATCCTAACAATGTTATATAATCCCAGTCACAATGGTATGAAGAAAATAAGTGATATGATATGGAGAGCAACTAGAAAGTCCAGTTTAGTTCAGAAATCCTCTGTGAAGAGGACATAAGTACAATGAGAAGTGAAGACACAGTGAGCTACCATGTTCCGATTTCACATTCTCCAGATAGTTAAATGGTGGGAAAGGGATGGGAAGTTCAGTTTCAGGAATGGTGAATTCTGAAGTATTTATGAGATAGACAAGTGAATGATAGCTAGTAAATATGGTTATATGCAGTTGAGTAACTGGTTATATACAGGAATCTGGAGTTGAAGATCTGGACTAGTAAAACCAACTCATTAGCGTAGAGATGACAGTATTACAGAAGTAGATAGAATTGTCCAGGGAAAAGGTATCTAACAATATATGTAACAAAGAATCTCGGGGAATAACAACATCTATTTTTTTTTT